GTTGGAAAAGTGGGGGTCGTCTTGTACATGGGGTCGTCTTATTGACGGAAAAATACGGTACCATCTAGTTACCCTGGACACTGTTCACTAATGCTGCTGCTCACTGCCAGTGGGCACTTAATTTCACCCAGCTCTGTTCTTGGCCTTTCACTCGTGTCGCAGAAGCCCGAAGGGCCAAAAATGGCTTTGGGGGGTTTCATCCAGTGCTTGATTCAATTACGCTTCACAGATTCTGCACAGCTCCAGCCATTACTCACCTTTGCCAATAAATATGGTATTCCTGTTCTCGTTTGTTGTTGATGTCAATCAGATCAGAAGGTTTGAAGGCATTGGCAAATTCCATAGACCAAACCTGGCCAAAGAGCTGTTTCTGAAAGGGCAGGTTCAAACTTGGTTCCACTTCACATTTACAGGAATTTTTAGGAAGAAGCCTGCGAAAAAATGGACAGACAACACTAAACATTGCAAAACATTGCTGTAGGCGATATGTAGATGCCCATCCTGCACCACAGGAGGACGTGGCAGCAAATGAGCAACCATTTACTCCTAAGAATGTTTAAAAGAGGGCTAAAAGATGGACTGGACATTAATTATGGAAGAATGCACGAAGGCACGCTTAGCATGTGAAGAGATGGGGAGAGGGGAAGGCAAGATGGCTAGCAGTGTTATCGGCCTATTGATTCATTCCTAGTGTATGCAGCTGTAGCCCTTCACTAAGGGGCAAGCCAGGCAAAGAGGGGTTTCGGTAAACCTCTTCTCCTATTCATTCAACCCTGGAAGACTGTGCTCCTTGTTGCTTGTTTCGCAACCCGAATGCAGGCCAGATTTACTGTATTCTTGCCATTTACAATATCATAAATCTACAGGCGCGGATTCAATCACTCCAGCCCTACCCTGGTTGAAACAAGCACCAAGACTGCAAGATTTCCCCCATGCTGGAAGCCCAGTTTAGGATGGCAAGTTTAAAATGGAAGATAACTGGCTGTATGATTTGCTGGGTGGGTAATACGTAAGCTGAGTGCCTGCCAGGTTTCCTGTCCTAAATCCAGTCTAAATAGGCAGTAGTGCTAGGTCTCTTCAATGATCAGATTCTCAATCCGAAGGGAAGGGAAGGGAAGGGAAGGGAAGGGAAGGGAAGGGAAGGGAAGGGAAGGGAAGGGAAGGGAAGGGAAGGGAAGGGAAGGGAAGGGAAGGGAAGACACATGGGGAATTGTAGGCAGAAGGGAGAAAACAGAGCCGAACCTGTTACGCTTCCAATAGATCAACAAGGACTTCTACCTCCAACAATAGCAGAATCAGAGTTATTCACCTTCCCCACCCCTAAAAAAAATATTGCTGAAATGAAGAAAGCTTAGGCTAACCAGGAGTGGAATTTTGTAGTTTCATTTAGTTTTCATTTTGTAGTTCCATTTAATTCTAGTGCTCTGGGAAAGAAGTCCTGGGTTCAGAATTGCTTATTTTATTTATTTAAAAGATTTGTATGGCCAATGTAATGGTATGTGGGAAAGACCTTGGGAGACTGGGCCCAGAGACACTGCCTAGGGAACAGTCAGATAAGAGACAGCACAGCCCACAGCTGGAAAGTGGGTAGGACAAGAGGCTCAGAAAGGGCCCTAAGTTCTTGGGCTGTAAAGGAGACAGGTAGAGAAATATATTTTCAGATTTGCAAGATTCTGTTAATGTAGCCTCACAACAAAGCAGTAGCAGCTCATCTGGTCGTGTTTCCTGTCTGGTTACCTGGTAAGGCTGAAAGTCACCGATCTGAAACCACAACTCTGGAACGAGATTATTGTATGACAAAGGTGGAAAGATTTGACTTTACTCACAATGGAGGAACGGATGGTGAAGATGATTGAATTTGCTGAGATGGCCAAATTGACAGCTTTAATTAGAGATAAGATATTGTCTAAGTTGAAGGCTGATTGGAACCCTCTTACTGACTTTTTACGTGAAACAGAAAAAAATGAAATTTTGATGTATGGATTTGATGATTAAATAGATTATAGAAAAAATGTAAGCAATGATGTGACCATAGAGTAAGAGGTAAATTAACATTTATATTTATAACTGCTGCAAAAGAAAATCAGAAGTCAGGGTTTTTTCTTTTTTTTCTTTTCTGTCCTTTCAGTTCTGTTGGAAGAAAAAGTTATCTTACCAAGTCCGTTTCTGAGCCGGGAGTAAAGACCCTGACGAACTGCATGAAGTTAGGAGTTTTATTCTTCACCCAAGTGCAGAAGCAATGACAGCAAGCAGTTAGGTGAGCGGCCACTCTGGGCCCCCTCCCCACAGTACCTTATATACCTTCTGTTACATTCAAACCCACGTTAAG